GGGCCGGTTGGGGGAAAGGGGTTTATGGTTGCCGGGGGGGTTGCGTAACTAAGGGTGTTGGAGCGTTTGGTTGATAAATAAATGGAAATGCGGCAACGACAGGCCGCCGTAGGATGCGTTTTTATTTTTATCTTTTTTTTTTCTTAATGACGGGTGAACCGCCATGAGCGGCGCCGGCAATGAATTGGGGGTGTTAGGGGGGAAAGGGTTGTGTGGGTGCGGTAAGGACGCGATGCCGTGTAATGTATGTATGTTTTTTTTTTTTTTTCTTTCTTTCTTAATGATGATAGGTGAACCGCCGCGAGCGGCAAATTGCCGGCAATGCATGGGGCCATTGGGGGGTCTAAAGGGAAACGGTTGTATCAACTTATATGGGTGCGGTGCCGCTCGGCAAAGACGGGATGCTGTGGAATGTGTTTTTTTYTTTTTTGTTCTTCTTCTTTCTTTTTTAATAATGGGTGAACCGCCATGAGCGGCAATGCATGCGGGTCTAGGGGAAACGGTTGTATGGGTGCGGCAAAGACGGGATGCCGTAGAATGTCTGTTTTTTTTTGTTTTTTTTTTCTATCTTTATTTCTTCCTTAATGATGGGTGGACCGCCATGAGCAGCAATGCATGGGGGGTCTAGGACTCCAGGGGGTTGCGGCAAAGACGGGATGCTGTTCCTTGTCTACCTTTATTTCTACCTTTATGTTTGTTCCTTGTCTTGTTCTAGGGGTGGACCACCATGAGCGGCTATGCATGGGGGGTCTAGGACTCTAGGGGGTGCGGCAAAGACGGGATGCTGTGGAATGTGTGTGTCTGTATTTTTCTTTTTCTTTCTATCTTTATTTCTTCCTTTGTGTTTGTTCCTTCTCTTATTCTTGGGTAGGACCGGCATGAGCGGCAAAGACGGGATGCCGTTAATGTGTGTGTTTTTTTTTTTTTTTTTTCTATCTTTATTTCTACCTTTGTGTTTGTTCCTTGTCTTGTTCTTGGCTTGGACCGCCATGAGCGGCTATGCATGGGGGGTCTAGGACTCTAAGGGGTGCGGCAAAGACGGGATGCTGTGAATGTGTGTGTGTGTGTGTGTGTGTGTGTGTGTGTGTGTTTTCTTTGTATCACTATTTTTACCTTTGTGTTTGTTCCTTCTCCTGTTTTTGGGGGGGACCGCCATGAGCGGCAATGCATGGGGGGTCTAGGGGGTGTGGCAAAGACGGGATGCCGTGGAATTTGTGTTGATTTGTTTATTATTTTTTTTCTTTCTAGGGGTGTKTTTTTTTTTTTTTGTCTCTAGGGGTCTTTATGTTTGTTCCTTCTCTTGTCTGTCGCTGTGGTTGTTGTGGAACTTGTGTTCGTTCCTGTCACTGTCCATCTTTTACAGGTTGATTCGTCGGTTGTTCAATAACTTCGGTGCAGTTCTTTGTTGTTGGCGTCGAAGTTCGTTTCAGTTCACCCCTTCTGCGGATTTCATT